TGGTTTTAGTAATCTTAGGACATTTTTATGGCAGTTGGTTAACTGTCGCTATAAAGCATTAAGAAATGCCCATCTCTCCAATTCAGAAATGTGTGGTTTTTACAGGTGAAGGAAAAATATTTGTAAACAGGTTTTAATTCTTTGCAGAAGCCATCATCTCGAATGGATTAAGTATTTCCAGAACATTTTTTTTTTGTTAAAATGTGTATACATCACAGAGAAGTGCTGTTATAGACTGGAGATAGACCAAGTGGTGGCCACAAGGAGAGAGGGATGGTGAGCTGTGCAGGCCCTGGATATATACTCGTATCACTTGTCCCTGCTGTCCCTGTGCATTTCCTTGTTGTTTCTGCTCATATTCTCCATTAAAATGAGTTGGTGATCTCATGGATATTGGAATATTAAGAGAGAATCTCTTAATTGTGTCCATTTTACTTACATCTATCTATTTAAGGTTGTTTATTCATGTAAGATAGGATGATGCTTGTAATGCTAGTGGTGGAGCTCTTGCTAGCCTTCATCCCTGTGTTTATTTAAAGCAACTGATTTACTGCAAAGCCTTCCCAGTGTCTCTCAAGTGTTTACTGATGGATGAGCTCAATTGAGATGTCCCAGCTCATAGTTCACAAGTCACAACATAATTCAGAAAAGAAACTTCGATTCTCAACAAACAGCCCTCTTGCAGTCATATGACATCAACTTGTTTCAGATGTTGGTGATCATTACAATAAAGATCAATGACATTGGTTAAGCTGTAGCTTCTAACTTTGTTTAAAACAGACTCACTGCAGTGAATAACTTTGTTTAAAAGGGTCTCACTGGGGAGACCTTCCAGCGGCCTTCCAGTACCTGAAGGGGCTACAGGAAGGCTGGGGAGGGACTTTGGACAAGGGCAGGGAGTGACAGAACAAGGGGTGATGGCTTTAAACTGGAAGAGGGTAGATTGAGGTGAGGTATTTGGAAGAAATTCTTTCCTGTGAGGATGGTGAGACACTGGCCCAGGTTGGCCAGAGAAACTGTGGCTGCTCCTCCCTGGAAGTGTTCAAGGCCAGGCTGGATGAGGCTTTGAGCAACCTGGTCTAGTGGAAGGTGTCCCTGCTGCTGGCAGGGGGGATGGAACTGGATGAGCTTTGAGGTCCTCTCCAACCCAAACCATTCCATGATTCTGTGACATGGCATCACACAATGGCAACCTCTAATGCATAATTAGCTGCTCAACAGGGTGGCTCTGTGGAGGCAAAATGGGATGAGTATTTACATGTTGTGACATCTTCTGTGTCCTGCAGAAAAATCATTCACCCTAAATGAATCATTATCTGTCTACCATTTAGTTTTGCTTGCCTTGGACTAAATGTTTCCTCTTTCCCATCATTAATTTTTTAAAAGCAGACCCACCTCACATCTCTATGCCAGCTCAGGCGTGGGTAAGCACTGCCATCCTGGAGCAGGTGAGGTAGCAGTTAAACACACAATGCCCAAACCTGTTTGTGCACTGGGGAAGGCTGTTGAACTCAGTGAAATAAAAATGGATGTTAAAACTACAGGGAGGTGGAGATTTTCTCTGTGCTTTTATTTGGCTCACTGGCTTGCTGACTTGTACCTAGGATTATGTACTTGGACCTTGCATGTCCAGAGAAGGGCAATGAAGCTGGTGAAGGGTCTGGAGCACAAGTCTTATGAGGTTCAGCTGGGGGAACTGGGGTTGTTTAGCCTGGAGAAAAGGAGGCTGAGGGCAGGAGACCATCTCGCTCTCTACAACTACCTGAAAAGAGGGTGTAGTGACGTTGATCTTGGTCTCTTCTCGCAAGTAACAAGCAATGGGACAAGAGGAAACAACATCAAGTTGTGCCAGGGGAGGTTTAGTTTGGATATCAAGAAAAATTTCTTCACTGAAAGGGTAGTCAGTCACTGGAACAGGCTGCCCAGGGCAGTGGTGGAGACACCATCCCTGGTGTCATTTAAAAGATGTGTAGATGTGGTGCTTAGGACACAGTTTAGTGGTGAACTTGGCAGTGTTGGGTTTACATTTGAACTTGATAATCTTAAAGGTCTTTTCCAAACTAAATGATTCTGTGATTAGGATAGCGCTCATTAATTGAGTGGTACAACTGCAGGTTGGGATCTGGAGGAACAGTGGCTTCCTGTACAGGAGCTTTAAACCTTATATGCCCCACCCTGCCTCAGTCCTAGTGTTCTCTGCTAAATATGTCTCAGCTAAAACATCCACATCAGCCAAGACATCACCAAACAGTTGGAAAAGCTAAGCAAGAGGTAGTAGTTTGAACCATGATGCGAACAAGGTGCCATCTGCACAGACACAGCTATTTCCTAGAGATCTAAAATGTGCTGCAGAGGGAGTCAGTAATTACATGGTGACTGATGATGTGGAGTATTGGCTTCTGGTACAGGCCTTCAACTGCCTGTGCCAAAGACAGACATCCTTGCCCTGTATTGAGCATTGGTGAGGCTGCACCTCAAATACTGTGTTCAGTTTTGGGCCCCTCACTCCAAGAAGGACATGGAGGGGCTGGAGCGTGTCCAGAGAAGGGCAATGGAGCTGGGGAAGGGTCTGGAGCACAAGTGTGATGAGGAGCAGCTGAGGGAACTGGGGTTGTTGAGCCTGGAGAAAAGGAGGCTGAGGGGAGACCTTCTGGCTCTGTCCAACTCCCTGAAAGGAGGGTGGAGAGAGGGGGGAATGGGGCTGTTCAACCCAGGAACTAGTGATAGAACAAGAGGAAATGGCCTCAGGTTGTGCCAAGGGAGGTACAGATTGGATGTCAAGAAAAATTTCTTTCCTGAAAGGGTCGTCAGGCACTGGTATGGGCTACCTAGGGAAGTGTTGGAGTCACCATCCCTGGAGGTATTTAAGAGTTGGGTAGATGAGGTGCTCAGAGATATGGTTTAATAGCAGACAGGTATGGTTGGACTGAATGATCTCAAAGGTCTTTTCCAACCAAACAGTTCTGTGATTCTATGAAACCATGATATTATCATTATCCCTCACGGGCAGGGTGCTCATGGGCACGTTTGGTCTGAAAGCAGAAGTCTGCGGTTTCAGAAGAGACAAGTCTCTTCCCATAACTATGCTCACCAAGGCAGATGTCACCGTTAGCTTGTTTGTTAGCCAAAGTTGAGTGAAATCACATAAACCTTGGCCTCCGACCTGGATTTTGAATCCTGATGGTGAATTTGGTTATTTATGGTAAGTTGTAGGCTAAAAATGTCTTATTTTTTTTTTTCTATAATATTTATGCATCGCTGCAGAGCACACCAGTCTCGGAAAAATGTGATTTATTTTATGAAACAAGCCAGCATCATTAGTCAAGATTTGATGGCACTTTAAAAAGCAGGAGATTAGAGTTCCAAATTTGCAGCATAGGCTATTTTGGGCAGGGATTGGTATAATCCTGCTTGGTGGTGGATAACTCAGTGTGCTGAACAGGGAGCACAAGGTACAGGTTGATCTCACCAGCAAAGATCAAATCCTGCTCGCACTCATGATAGGTGGTTTTGAATAATAAATGGTTTTCCTTCCTAGGGTAAAGACAGTGAGTTTTTCAGCCTTGGCAACAGTTGGACTGTAAGAAATAGATTGTTTTGGTTTTAATGCTTTGCTAAGAAACACATCGAAGTGGTTACCTGACCTGTGCTGATAAACTGAGAAGGAGAGAAATCTCAAAGGACCCAAGTGTAGCTGCTCTTCTGGGCCAGTCTGCCATCTGCAGGCCATTGCTCTCCATGCTGGGGAGATGTAAAGCAGGGCTTTTGGAGAATTTCCTTCTCCAGATATTATTATTTGTAACAATTTTTTTTTCCCTATGTAAATATTACATAATCTAATTTGTTTCCATCTGATCCTATGAATAGTCAACTCAGTTCTGGAAAAAAAGCAAGGATAGTAGAAATAAACAAGCCTCCTTAGATTTCTCTAGAGGGTAATGAATAAATATTCTTTCTTTTATTATCTGTTGTTCTATTTTATAAGGAAACCTTTTTGTGCTTGGAAATAAGACATTCTCTAGGTTGCCCAGAGAAGCTGTGGCTGCTCCTCCCTGGAAGTGTTCAAGGCCAGGTTGGATGAGGCTTTGAGCAGCCTGGTCTAGTGGAAGGTGTCCCTGCTGATGGCAGGGGGGTTGGAACTAGATGAGCTTTAAGGTCCCTTCCAACCCAAACCTTTCTATGACTCTATCTGACAGTCAAATCCTGTCCATCATTCTCAGTCCATTAAATCTTTAATACCTCTTTATGGCGGTGGTCTACATGAACAGTAGCACTATTATGTTCATCTCGTGTTTAATGTTAAAAGTCCCTATGAGAAGGGGATATGTGTATATGACAACCAGGTCTCCTTCTCTGGAGATGTTCAAAACCCACCTGGATGCAGTCCTGTGCAACTTGCTCTGGGTGAACCTGCTTTGGCAGGGGGGTTGGACTAGATGATCTCTTGAGGTCACTTCCAACCCCTATGATTCTGTGATTCTGTGATCCATTCTGTAACTTTCCAAGCATCCCAAAGATCTTTGTTTTTATAGTCCACAAATCGATAGAGGATGCAACAAAGCTATTTGACTTCTACCCTGTAGACCCTGGCCACAGAGGCCATCCTCACCAACACCCTTGTCAAAAAAATTCAGCACACTTAGCAAAATTGATCAGAAGTGTGATATTTTTCGACAGTAGTAACTAATTTAGACAAGTGATTCCACAGTTAGATATCTCTTTTCTTTTTTAACTTTTATTTCAATAGCTTAAATATATGTATTGTTACCTTCTTATTGCCCAGGTATTTGAAAGACACATGATCTGTGATTTCCTTAGCTGATTTTTTAACCATTTTTAAGAAATCTTAACTGGGTTGTTCATTTGAGCAGGAATTTGCTGCAGGTAAATTACTGATCTATTTATAACTTTTGAAGGTATAAGAAAATGTTGTGTATAAAGTGAAATGTTTGGTGTGTACCACATAACCTTTGAATCTTTTTTTTTTGTCTTTGTTTTAGGTCTTCCTGAACAATACTACAGCCTCACTTGGTTCCTTAGCCCTATCCTGGGCTTGATCTTCACTCCGCTTATAGGTTCGGCTAGTGACCGCTGCACACTGAGCTGGGGCCGCCGGCGGCCTTTTATTCTTGCTCTCTGCATTGGTGTCCTCTTTGGAGTTGCACTTTTCCTTAATGGCTCTGTTATAGGTAAATAACGAGGAAATCATCTCCATATGTCTTTTGTTAACATATTTGCTTTAAGATTTTTATGTAGAAAGTAAAGATAATGATGTACTAATGATATATATGCAGAGTTGAGTTGGAGGCCTGTGGTCAGTGGTGTTCCTCAAGGGTCAGTACTTGGCCCAGTCCTATTCAACATATTCATCAGTGACTTGGATGAAGGGACTGAGTGCACCCTCAGCAAGTTTGCTGATGACACTAAACTGGGAGGAGTGGCTGATGCACCAGAAGGCTGTGCTGCCATTCAGCAAGATCTGGACAGGCTGGAGAGTTGGGTGCAGAGGAACTTGATGAAGTTCAATAAGGGCAAGTGTAGGGTCCTGCACTTGGGGAGGAATAACCACGTGCACCAGTACAGGTTGGGGGTTGACCTGCTGGAAAGCAGCCCTGCAGAGAAGGACCTGGGAGCACTGGTAGATGACCAGTTGACCATGAGCCAACCATGTGTCCTTGTGGCCAAGAAGGCAAATGGCATCCTGGGGTGCATTAGAAGGGGTGTGGTTAGTAGGTCAAGAGAAGTTCTCCTCCCCCTCTACTCTGCCCCGGTGAGGCCACATCTGGAGTATTGTGTCCAGGTCTGGGGTCCCCCGTTCCAGAGAGGGGAAGCTACAAAGATGATGAAGGGGCTGGAGAATCTCTATTATGAAGAAAGACTGAGAGGGCTGAGTCTGTTTAGCCTGGAGAAGAGAAGACTGAGAGGGGATCTTATCAATGTTTATCAATATCTGAAATGTGGGGGCCAAATGGATGGGGCCGGGCTCTTTTCAGTGGTGCCCAGTGACAGGACAAGGGGCAATGGGCAAAAACTGGAACACCAGAAGTTCCAGACAAACCTAAGGAAAAACTTCTTTACAGTGAGGGTGTTGGAGCCCTGGGACAGGCTGCCCAGAGAGGGTGTGGAGTCTCCATCTCTGGAGATGTTCAAAACCCACCTGGTCGTTTTCCTGTGCAACCTGGTGTAAGGAACCTGCTTTGTCAGGGGGGTTGGACTAGATGATCTCCAGAGGTCCCTTCCAACCCTGACCTACCATTCTGTGATACAGTTGGTTCATATTTAGTGTTAAAGGCATTAGAAACCTCTGCAGCGCTGCATGTGAGCTATCCACCTGGCATGTTTCTATTCTTGTTTGAAAGTCAGGGCGCTGTGTGAAGTGTTGTGCAATCATCCCTGTAACTGCTGTTATTAATACAATGGTTGCCAGCGTAATGTTTGCAGTCGTTGAGACGAATTTGGTCGATCCTTGACATGGGAAAATTGTAGCAACCTGTTCACAGGGAAATGTTTCCTGTTGTGATCCATTTTCCCTTTAATGCATATCTGGCAACACATCCTGTTTCCAGCATTATTTCAAAAATTATCTTTTCACTTTTTCTTGTGCTTTTCTTAGACCTGGTATTGAAAAAGTCCAGAACACAGTTAATATTTGTTTATCAAAAACTATGTGGGAAAATAATTTTTCCTGAGCCTCCATCAAAGCTGGTAAAAATAGTTTCCCTTGAACATAGTTTACTACTGAACTTAATCTCCAATCTGCAATCTCTTTGTAAATTTAGTGTAGGAGAGGTGACAGCAAGTACATTTGGGGAAATGTTTACAGCGTGGTTGTACCGATGCAAATGAAAGGAACTTAGCACCTAAGAATATCCTCTTGGCTCCTTTTTTTTTTCTTAAGTTAGATGCAGCTCTATTGTGAAAAGTTTTACTAATGGAGGGAAATGAGTGGAACATTACCTTGGCTCAGCGTGTTAGCTTTTTAAAGCCAGACTGGGATGCCATATGATGGTATTCAATTTTCTGCAAACTACAGTGAACAAACTGTTCAGATAAATGACATTTAGCTTATGTTTTTTTTAATTTACCCAAGCAATAAATATTAATTATTTGAATTGCTGTCATATGGTATCAATTGTACTTTGTAGTTGTGTCTTCAAGACATCCAGATGCATGCAAGATGTTAGACTGCAGCCCTCTTACAAGTTTGTAATTGATAGGAAGCTCTTGCTTCCACACACAGTGGTTTAGGTCAGTAGCCAATAGAGTCACAGAATGTTGTGAGTTGGAAGGGACACACAAGGATCATCCAGTCCAACTCCTGTCCCTGCACGGGACAATCCCAACATTCAGACCGTGTGTCTGAGGCCACATGTTGTCCAAATGCTTCTGGAATCTTGTCAGGCTTGGTGCCATGACCACCTCCCTGGGGAGCCTGTTCCAGGGCTCCACCACCCTCTGCCTCAAGAACCTTTTTCTCATGGCCAACTTCAACCTCCCCTGGCACATCTTCCTGCCGTTTCCTCTGCTCATTGCTCATTGGTCACCAGAGAGAGGAGATCAGCACCTGCCCCTCCTCTTCCCCTGGTGAGAAAGTTCTAGACAAGCAAAGCTCATACACAGTTTATAAGCTTATTTTGAAGTATCTCACAGTCTAATAAATCAGCAGAAAATACTGTCTTCAATTTTTCTCTAATTCTTTTCTAATATTTCTCTAATTTTCCCTCATTCTTAGTTACACAGTAATATTCTGTTGCATAGCTTTCTAGGAAACCTGCACTTTTCAGAAACTCCAATGCAATGAAACTTCTTTAACACAAAGGTTATTGCAGTGCACTGCAAAAGTGAGCTGGATTCTTTATGCATCTGTTCTGAGACGTGGTTGTGGTAGATTTTGAATGAATCCCCTCATTTAGAAAGCACTGTAAGCACTGCTGTGCCTCTCCCAAGGGAGCTGGGAGCAAACTGAGCTGAAGTGAGGGCTGTTCCGGCCTCACTTGTATCCAGATTTTCTTGTAGATGGACCTTGGATGCTTTCATTGTCTGTATTCTTCCCATTTTATGTTCACACTTCCCTATCTTTAGTCACCAGTTACTTGCACTCCTAATTGCAATTTGGGGTTATAGGAGATGCTGCAAAAACTGAGGTGGTCATTGTGTTACACCCCTTTTCCATAACCTGGCCTCTGGGAATAGGAGTCATCTGAAGGTGAATAAGGAGCACAAGGGGATGCTGAAAAAGAGATTCTCCAATCCTAATTATAATGATACAACCACATCCCAGGAGAAGAGCTGTGAATAGATCTTGCTCAGCTCGTTCTCTCCACTGTATGCACTGTGCAGGTTTCCAGCAAATTTAAAGCACTGACGCCGTTGGTGTTTTCTGCTTTAAGATCCAGCTGAGCGTGGGACACGTATAAACTCCTTCAGCATTCAGAGGACTTAGTACAAATGAGGATTGGATATGTAGGAATCGTAACACTTGAGAGTGAGATGATTTTTGGTGGTTTAGCTAGTTTATCTCTTTCCACGGTCATTTTCATCAGTTACGCTGATGGTTTTATCAGTCTTGCATGTGTAACGGTCAATGTCTCCTATTCAAGTAATTCATGCTTTTGTCAGTGGTTCATTCCATGAAGAATTCTCCAGCTCTATACTAAAGCTGCCTTTCTGCTCTGTAGACAAAAAGCATTTCATCCCCTGCAATCAACAGAGGTTGACTGATGCTTCTTGCAATGCAAAATACCTTCATGGTGCTCCAGCCTTAAAAGTTTTGCTTATAAAAGTGATCTAGAAAATATGAATATTGGAGAAAAGCAAAGAGAGCGGTGAGGGGGTTCAATTTCACTCTCTCCTGTTGTGCTGTGACCATGTCAACAATGCTGCCAGCAGTGCAGTTACCTGTGTCTGTAACTGAGAGATGAGGTGTGCTGGTTTGGTTTTGGATGCTCTCCTCTCTCACCATGGCTGCTCTTAAAAAAACAGCCTTCAGCATTTGAAGGAAAATACACACAAGGAATATTAAATAGTATCTAATGCTCTCAAAGGTTTAAGAGATACTTTAAAAATAACATTTTGAAAAATAAATGTGAGTCCTAAAAATTTAAATACATGATCTTCTGTCCCAGACTTCCCATGAAGCTGTGACAAAGAGTTGAAATTGCCATTTTACTCCGTAAGGGAATGTTTCTAGTAGATGTGTTGACCACCTTTCTCTTAAGGAGTTAAGCTTGCCCTTAGTTTTCCCTTTTTGAATGACATGCTCAGCTTGCTTTTCCATTTTCCCTCAGGTCTGGCTATTGGTGATGTCCCGGACAAGCAGCCCATCGGTATAGTTCTCACCGTGCTTGGTGTTGTGGTGTTGGACTTTTGCGCTGATGCAACAGAAGGGCCAATTCGGGCCTACTTGTTGGATGTGGTGGATAGTGAAGAACAAGACATGGCCCTTAACATCCACGCGTTTTCAGCTGGTATGGAGTTAGTTTTTGGTGTATCAAATGGATGTCAAATCCATTTTGGCATGTCATAGCTTCCTGATGACCAAGTTGTGACTGAATTGGTTTTTGCTGAACTCACTTCTTGGTTTTTCTCTTCCACAGGTCTCGGAGGAGCAATTGGTTATATGTTAGGAGGGCTGGACTGGACACAGACCTTCTTGGGTAGTATTTTTAAATCTCAAGAGCAAGTCCTTTTCTTCTTTGCAGCCATTATTTTCTCTGTCTCCGTTGCTCTCCACCTTTTTAGCATTGAAGAAGAGCAATATAACCCTCAGCAGGACAGGATTGATGATGAAGGAGACACACTTTCCAGTGTCAAATTCAGTGGTAGTCTCCCCCCTCTGAATCGACTGAATGTAATCAGTGAGGAAGAGCCGTATGGAGCCTCTATGTTCCACGATGAGGTTCAGTCAGAGCATGATCTCAATATGGAGTTCCTTGAGGTGAACATTGTAAGAAGTAAGAGTGACTCAGTTCTGCACATGCCCGATGCTACATTGGAAATCGAATCAGAGCTGCTTTTTCTACATGACATCGAACCCTCCATTTTTCAGGATGCTTCATATCCCAACACTCCCCACAACACAAGCCAAGAGATGATGAAATCCAAACTCAACCACCTGTCTACTTTCCTCAGGGACAATGAGAAAGAGGAGGAAATGTTGCTTGATAATCGTTTAAATGAAGATAAAGTCCCAAACCTGAATGGCTCCCTACCAAAAGAGTTCCTCAATGGACACGCTAGAATAGGCATGAAGCAATCTAGTACTTCAAACTCCATGCGAAGGCGGAGGCACATGTTCTACCGTCAGCCCTCTTACACCTTCTCATACTATGGCAAAATAGGCTCTCACCGCTATCGCTTTCGTCGGGCCAACGCCATCGTCTTGATAAAGTCCTCGCGCAGCATGAACGACATCTACGACATGCAGAAGCGGCAGCGACAGCGGTACAGGCACAGGAATCAGAGTGGCACAACCAATTCGAGTGGAGACACAGAGAGCGAAGAGGGGGAAACCGAAACCACTGTCAGACTCTTGTGGTTGTCGATGCTGAAGATGCCAAAGGAGCTGCTGAGACTGTGTGTCTGTCACCTCTTAACTTGGTTTTCCATCATCGCTGAAGCTGTGTTCTATACAGATTTCATGGGACAGGTCATCTTTCAGGGCGATCCAAAGGTAAGAGAACAGAATCACAGAATATTAGGGATTGGAAGGGACCTCAAAAGATCATCCAGTCCAACCCCCCTGCCGGAGCAGGAACCTAAACGAAATTACACAGGAAGGCGTCCAGGCGGGTCTTGAGTGGCTCCAGAGAAGGAGACTCCACCCCCTCCCTGGGCAGCCTGTCCCAGGGCTCTGTCACCCTCACTGTAAAGAAGTTTTTTCTCAAGTTTAAGCGGAACCTCCTGTGTTCCAGCTCACACCCATTGCTCCTTGTCCTACCATTGGGCATCACTGAGAAGAGCCTGGCTCCATCCTCATGACATTCGCCCTTAACATATTTGTAAACATTAATGAGGTCTCCCCTCAGTCTCCTCTTCTCCAAGCTAAAGAGACCCAGCTCCCTCAGCCTTTCCTCAGAAGGGAGATGCTCCACTCCCTTCATCATCTTGGTGGCTCTGCGCTGGACTCTCTCAAGCAGTTCCCTCTCCTTCTTGAACTGTGGGGCCCAGAACTGGACACAATATTCCAGATGTGGCCTCACCAGGAAAAGTTACCACTGGCAGACCTGCTTATGGTTTACTCATTTCTGAGATGTGCTCACTACAAGAAAACGACTTGGTGTTTGTGTTTGTTGCAGGCCCCTTCCAACTCGACTGAGTTACACGCCTACAACGCTGGCGTTCAGATGGGATGCTGGGGACTGGTAATTTATGCTGCTACTGCTGCCGTTTGTTCAGGTAAGAGACTCTGCACAGTCAGACATTGGAATGCACCTCGTATCTGTATTTGCAAGGTAAAAATAGCTTTGCTTCAGTTAGCATCCACCTCCTTGTTTGGGGTGAAGGATGTTTTGGTAGAAGCATTTCATGTGGTTTTAAGGGGAGAGGTTTCTTTAAGAATCAACATTAAGAAATTCCTCCAAACTTAGAGGTGGAAATATGAAGAGATCAGTTAAGCAACATAAAGCACAAAATGATATCAGAGGATATCAAATGGCATTTAGCTAGTCATCAGGAAACAAAAATTATGCTTGTTAGAAGATTCAAGTATATGTAAGAGAGTTTTTGCAAAGACTGTTTTTAAAATCAAAATTATAAATCTATTTCTTAAAGTCTTTCATGCTCTCTAGTAACAGATAAACCAACTACAGGCAATTTAGGCTTGGAATACAGACTCTAAAATTGAAAGCTTTTGCCAAACTTAAATTCTGCCTTTCGCAGCACTTGTGCAGGCACGTCTGCACGGCTCGGTATGGTGGGGATTGCCTCTTTGTTGAGACAAGTCACAATGAAGTTCAGGTGGGCAGCTTGTTTCTGAACACAAACTGAAACGTGGCTGCAAACATCTGGTCACTTTGTTTAGGGAATGTGCTTGCTCTGGAAACAGAACCTCCTCTGTGCTCAGAGTGTACTTGCATTGATCAAGTTAATTAACAGGTAAAATTAATATATGGACTGAGTGGACCATGAGTCTCAAAGCGTTTTGTTCTGCCTCAGACTTGTAGCACGGTTTAGACAAGTCTCTGAGCACATTTATTCACTGGTTTCTGAAGCAGTGATACGTTCTGAAGCAGGGCTACAGAGGTGATGAAAGGGCTGGAGCATCTCCTGTTTGAGGAAAGACTGAGAGAGCTGGGCCTGTTTAGCCTGGAGAAGAGAAGACTGAGAGGGGACCTTATCCATGTTTATCAATATCTAAAGGGCAGGTGTCAAGAGGATGGGGCCAGACTCTTTTCAGTGTTGGCCAGTGACAGGAAAAGGGGCAACAGGCACAAGCTGGAACACAGGAGGTTCCACTTAAACATGAGGAAAAACTTCTTTACTGTGAGGGTACCAGAGCCCTGGGACAGGCTGCCCAGAGAGGCTGTGGAGTCTCCATCTCTGGAGATGTTCAAAACCCACCTGGATGCTTTCCTGTGCAACCTGCTGTAGGGAACCTGCTTTGTCAGGGGGATTGGACTGGATGATCTCCTGAGGTCCCTTCCAACCCCCAGCATTCTGTGATTCTTTCCTTTTCCCAAGGAGGACTGAGCTGTGCTGCTAAGTCAAGCCAAATATGCAGTGAGCTTCCAAGTCCTAAATAGTGTATTGAGCTGTCACGGCCATGTCAAAAACTTTACCAGGTAAACTGATATTTATGTTTCACTCTTGATCTTTGCAGCCTTGTTGCAGAAATACTTGAACAACTATGACCTTAGTATAAAAGTGATCTACATCCTGGGCACGCTGGGTTTTTCTCTTGGCACTGCAGTGATGGCCATGTTCCCCAACGTGTATGTCACCATGATAATGATCAGCACTATGGGAATAGTCTCGATGAGTATCTCCTACTGCCCCTATGCGCTTTTGGGACAATACCATGAAATTAAACAGGTAGGTGTGATATTTTGAATATTTTCATTAAGACATAGTGTTCACGTTTCTCTGAAGATCACAGTGGCAAAATGGATTTATTAACTCATCCTTGATTGTAAATAGTAAAAACTGCCACTTAAATCAGATGGTATTAGCATCACGTTGGCTCAGTGGGGTCGTGGTTGCTTTACCCTGCGCTGAGGTATAAAAGGATTTGGGTGTGTATGGTAGATGAAGAAAGATGAAATAATTATTCAATTATTATATAGCCAGTTGTTACTGCTGTTTCTGACATGTTACGTTAGCATTACTCAGGTTCTTCACCATCTTAGATATTGAGGTGAGTCCGGAAATGCAGCTTTAAGTTTGGAGGGACACAAGGCAAACTGATTCTGCTGGAAACAAGATTTCCTTTCCACTTTTTAGCACTGTTCCATTTGGATTACAAATTCCAGGAGCATCATTTATTTTAACATGTTTCTGCATTGGGATTGAGAGGGGGTTTCCTTTTTATGATGATAAAACTAATTTCCACCAACTGTTTCATGTAAATTTGTTTCACAAAACCTAATCTGGGAGGCCACTCATGCTAGGAGTGCCCCAGTAAATATCTGTCTCTTGGTGTGAGATGAGGAGGCCGTTGGTAAGTAGGGAAGGAGGCTGGTGCTCTGGACTTGTATAGTCTGCATAATGCACAGGGATGGCATAAAGTTGACCACATCATTATCTCAACCCTTCATGCACCACATGGGGTGCCAACAAGACTGTGGTGGTTTCACTTGGCCAGCATTGGGCTAGCAGCCAAACACAGCCACTCGCTCACTTCCCCCACAACAGGGGATACAGGAGAGGATTGGTAAGGAGACTTGTAAGGTGAGATAAGAACAATTTAATCATTGAAATAAAATAAAATAAAATAATACTGATATTAAAATAATAGATGCAAATGAGTGATACCCAGTGCAACTGCTCACCACCTGCCAACCAAACCTGGCCTGTTCCCAGGTAACGATCCCAGAACAGCGACAATCCCAAACCAAAACCACAATCCTGGAAGAGCGAGAGCCCGAGCGAAAACTGGAGAGAGCAAGAGAGCAAGAGCCCCTCACGAATGTACTGACCATGACGGGATATGAGATGGAATATTTCATTGGCAGAGCCAAATGCCCATTGAGCTTATTAATTTAAATATTCCTCACCCCCTTAGATCTTGCACTTGTAGACTGACAGAACACAAAGTCCTTCACTTCCAGCACAAAAACACTGGGATGTTCTCAGTGTTTCTCTCCTATCAAATCCCAGGCTGGAACCAAACCCCAGCGCTGTTCTAGCAGGGGGTTGGAGCTGGATGATCTTTAAGGTCCCTTCCAACCCAAACCATTCTATGATTCTATGATCTTATGAAACAGAAACCCAGCTCTGTCCCAGCTGAAATCCAGGACACCATGTGGCTGAGAAATTTGAAGATAGCAGTGTTCAAATATTTGATTTCATCCATTGTTTTACCTCCTGACGTGTTTCTTGTCTGTTTCCAGTACATTCACCACAGCCCCGGGAACTCCAAGCGAGGATTTGGCATAGACTGCGCTATTCTGTCCTGTCAGGTTTACATCTCCCAGATCCTCGTGGCCTCCGCGCTTGGTGGTGTGGTGGATGCAGTTGGCACAGTCAGAGTCATTCCCATGGTGGCTTCAGTGGGATCCTTCCTAGGTTTTTTGACAGCTACTTTCTTGGTGATTTACCCCGAAGTCAATGAAGAACCAAAGGAAGAACAGAAAGGACTAGGTCCTCCGGAGACAACCGAGAGCAACGGCATGAGCGCGGAGAAGCCGACTGTGCTGAAGCTGACGCGCAAAGGAGCCGCCGTGTCGGAGCTGGAGAGCGAATCAGCCGTGTGAGGGCGTCGCTTGTTCACCCACATTCCAGGGAGCGCAGGTGCAGGATCAAGAACTTTTTGTTTTGTTTTGTTTTGGCTTTTTTTCCTCCAGGAAAACAAATTAGATCTTCACTACTTGTAGCTAAAATGGCAGAAGAAAAAGGCAGTTTCATACAAAAAGTGTAAATGAAATTCTGTAGTCCTTAACATAGGGTTGGACAGGTAGCTCTGATGCTGATTGCTTTCTCTACAACTTAGAAATGTCATTTCTGAACACTTTTTTTTTTATTAAGGATACATTTAGATTTTGAATAAGTTTTATTAATCTGCATGAGACTCACAGTGTATACAATTAGCAGTTAGAAAAAAATAAGTTTTTGGCTATTTTAAAACTAACTGAAAATGGAAGCTATCTTGACTTCTAGTCTCTTGCTGTTTTTTTGTCTGAACATTTCAGATTTCACTGGTGTAACAGCTGAATCAAACGCTTAGACATCTCGATCAGTTTTTTTTTCCTGTAAGCATGATATTATTGATCCGCCAGCTACAGTTCTTTAACGTTCATTTTAGACTTCATGGTTTTGTTAGTGCAATTAAGTTGTATTTTGAAATTATTTTCAAGAAAAACAGAAGCAATTGCTGCAGTTTCTAAGAAACTGCCGTGAATCCTTTTAAGTCATACTGTTCAACAACTGCTCCTCAGTCTGCTGCGTGTCAGGAGAGGGTGACGTTGGGTGCATGATGTGAACTGGAGATGGAAGGAGCAGCGACTGGGAGAGGTGACCGGCACTGACAGGTTTTTGGGGTTTTGGGTTTTTTTTTTATCACAAGTGCTGAATTTTGTGAATGTCGTTGGAATACGCTGTGACAATTTTTATCTGGGAGTTTTGCGTGCTGGTGAACTCGGGGAGGGGGGGATTTCTTGGCATTTAAACCTAATCATCTCTGGATGAAGCTGCCGTGGAGAAAGGGCGTCTCTGGGGTCAGCTTTGTGGGAGGGAGGGGGCGTGTGGATT